CAGATGTATGTACACCGCTTCTAGGACACGCAGGCGTTTCGTGTTCGTCTCATGGTGGATAATCTCTGTATAATCCACCAGGTCCTGACGTGTGATCCGCCTGTGGTGATCCTCCCTCATGTGCCGCTCCAGTTCTCCATTTTGCTTGTGATACGTCAATCTTCGGGACAGCGTCGTTGTAGTATGACCAACATAGCATACCGGGGTATCCTGAGGCTGACAGTCCTCATCTGGGCATGTGAATTTGTACACTATGTTGGTGGCCTTCAGTTTAGCTGTCCTGTTTTGATTGTTTCGCATCACCATGCTAGAAGCACGCCTGCTGCGGTAGTATATGCGTAGCGCCACATGGTTGTCTTCGACAGGGGTGACATTGGTCTTGATGATTTCTTTCAGGATGCGCTCATCGACACGGTAGGCGTCGCTCATCTGACCCTTGTAGTACAAGATGTTTGTGTGCCGTTTGTCATCCTTTTTGCCAGGTTGGAGGTGCTCATCAAGTGCTACTTTGATTTCATGCTCTATGTCTGTGGCCAGATAGTTGTTATTGAGGAGCATTTCTTTCACGTAGCTCATTTCACTGTCAAAGAGTTCCCATGTGCTGCATGTTTTCAGGGCGCGGCGCACATATGTCCGTATCACCCCACGTTTGTATCGCGCGGGGCAGACACTCCGGGCATTCATACAGCGTCCACCATCAGTTTTCTTGCGGTGCACTGAGGTGGTGTGTTTGCCGCCAGTGATGTCGACATTGACGTCAAGGAACGGCAGCTTCCCAGACGGACCTACCTCACAGGTGAACTTCAAGATGGAGGAACCTTCTAGTTTTTGTCGAAGAATTTCAAGCTCTGCTTCACTGTCAATTTCAAGGAAGATATCATCAATATATCTCTTGTATATGTACGGCTGTCGGTCCAAACTGTTCAAAGCCGTCTCTTCTACTGAGCACACGTAGGCGTTAGCAAAGAGGACACCGAGTGGTGACCCCATTGCCACGCCGTTGATTTGCTTGTACAGCTGTCCCGAGGGTGACTGGAACGGGGCTTCTTTAGTGCACAGTAGCAGTAACTCTTTGAGTATCTGCTTTGGGAGTCTTGGCGCAGGAACGTTTTCATTTTCATACACATACTTGAGGATGATGTCTACGGTCTCATCTACTGGTACATTTGTAAATAAACTTTCGACATCCAGTGAGGCCAGAATACCTTGGGGCTGGGTGCACCGTAAGACCGTGATAAAATCATCAGTTGATTTTAGTGTATTTGCTGTGGGGACGTACGGTGTGACCAGACTGTTAAGCTGCTTTGCGATCAAATACGTGGGCGTCGGTACCTGGGAGATGATAGGCCTTAGTGGGTTACCCTCCTTGTGGACCTTTACGTTGCCGTACAGATAACCGGGCTTGTAGTCACCTATTATTTCCTTGAAATGGACGCCACCTATTTCCGCGTTGGCGCACGATATCAGTTTGTTCACTTTCTTTTTGAGACTGTCGGTTGGATCTGCGCGTATCTTTTGAAACTTGCTCGTATCTGAGAGGATAGCATTGATTTTGTCACTGTACTCTTTTTTGTCAAGTATGACGTAAATAGCCGTTTTATCTGCTCTACGAATAACAATACTGTCATCTTCCCTTAGCTTTCTTGCGGCCTCTCTAAGCTCAGGGGTCAAAATTGCATGTTTCTTATTCCGACGGTTAGACCTGTCCTTAGAGGCTTCAGCAAGGAGTTGTGGCTTCAATTCAGGTTTGATTATCACTTTCTTCTCCTTTTCTAATTCTACGACTTGCTGAAACAAAAGTTCGATTTCCGTGTACTTCTCAGCGGCGTTAAACTTGCTTTCTACATGACAGTTGATACCGAGATTCAGAAAGTTTCTTTCATTTTCACTGAGTGCTTTGGATGATAAATTCACAAATGAATCTTTGCCGTTTTTCAAGGGAAGCTGACCACCATACAATTTGTTGAGTTTCTTCACAGTCCTATCACGCACGACACTATCATAGTAGACGTAATTGTCATGCAGGGCACGATATATATCCGCCTTTAGATCACTATGAATGGTCCCTTTAGCGAAATCACTTTGAAGTGTCTTTTGTTCCTCTTCTAGCTTCACAAGTTCTATCTGTTTGTCTTTGAGCTGTTCTTCCACTAGTTTTCTTCTGAAATCTAGCGTGCACTGCCGCTGGCGGATTGCTGGGTCATGAAGTCTGATATCTGAATACTTAGGAAGCAACCCTTGTTCAAGACATGTTTCATTGAAGAAGACCGCATTTCGTGTGTTAATCAGCTTCTTTTGGACTTTTTCGATAGAACGTACGTGTTGCTTATCGTTATCATTAAGACCCTTCAGTAACTCTCCAAGAATAGTCATTTATATCGCAACCGGTTTCGTCATATTCAGCATGACATTTTCAAGCGATTATATACAAAACATATGTCTACAGAAAATAAGACAAGCAAACGTTACAGGAACGATTCAAATAAATTTTACACACTGTTTTCATTTCTACACTTTTAAATTCCAAAAAACATGCAAAAACACGTGGTACCACTTGCTCTCTGAAGAACTGAAAAAATGAATGTCAGAGTTTGTCATTCATTTACACGGCCATGTCATGCAGTGTCAGAATTCTGTCATCCGTACGTTCTATCGAAAAAGTCCAAAAGAAGCTGATTAACACACGAAATGCGGTCTTCTTCAATGAAACATATATATATATATATATATATATATATATATATATATATATATATATATATATATATATATATATATATATATTATCTTATTATATATTATATTTATCACTACCGATCACAGGCGGTCACACCCTGAAAAGAGATGAACTCCTAAAAATTTAGGTGTCCACATTGACCCGACGATGTCGATTCGAAACTTTTCCCACCACCAGTCACGCCGATCGCGTGGGAAAGCAAAGATGTTTCGCCGTTGCTTTTGTGACCTATATAATGAATTGAATTGGTTTCAGTTGTCAGTTTCGGAACAAAAGCGTTGCCAATAGTCACGTGATGAATGTTGCAGAGGTTTTGAAGATGCATCTTATCTATATTACTTCTGCCCCTTTTGGAAAACGCAAAAAAAAATGTGCAACTAGGTATATCAGTGGTGCAAAAAAAGCATCAAAAATCGCAGTAATTCAAAGTCGTATGAAACAGCGCCATCTGTGTGTGACGTTTGAAGCTTCGGTGCCCTGGTTGTACTCCAGGGTTCCATCGGAATAGGTGTAATCCAAAGCACCTTAATAGCAGTTGTTTAGCACTAAATAAATATTTTTATTTTGACATCCGTTCCATGCTTCTATCCTCAGGATACTGAAATCCTTCTCCTCCACACCGCCACCCCCCTCCGGGCTGGACAGGCAACTTTATCTCATGCGGGCTGCTCCCTTGGAGCGGCACCGCTGCTCCCGAGGGAGCGCACCCCGTAGCCGGGTGCAGTGAGTGCCTTGGGGCTGGGTGGCTTGTCTTCGGACGGGCTCAGCCCCGGCGACTCACTAGGATGCCTGCCCAGACCAATGTCTCCCCCTAATTCCTATCATCCTTCCGGCTCTGCAATGGTCTTGTCGACCGAAAGAGCCTAACCCAACAAAACAAACAAAAAAACAAAACCAAAAGTGCTAATATTTTTTACATTGCTTCATTGTAGCACAACGTTAGCACCTAAGGAGCTAATTAGCAGATGTTTAGCACCATGTATTGATGTTTCCAAGATAATGAAATGGGGTGCTAGTAGGTATGCAGCACCTTCATTAGTATAAGGTGCTATAATGAATTACGCTATTTTATAACGGGAGCTTAAACCAAGCATCCATTTATCGTAGCATACTTAAAGCATGTGATGCTATATTTTAGCATCTGCCTTGTAAAATACTGCTTATTTTAAGCATCATAAATTCTTAGCATCTGAATAGCACCCTAGTAGCACCGGTTTAGCGCAAAGGGAGCTAAACTTTTTTTACAGTGTATGTGTTACATTTATTGATTTCCGTCAGCCCTTACATTGGCACACTTTTTTGAAAAATGTCAATGTTCTTATAGAGCTACAAATAAATTGTACGCTAGGGTACGGTCTCGAACCCACCACACTGTCGGTCAAGAAGTTGTCTATGTGCCCTAAAAATTTCAGCTGCGCCTGAGTGCGCTGGTGTTGGGGGTGAACACTTTTTTGAACAGGTCACGTCTGCTCCTGCTGAGCCATGGAACGGGCCCTAGCGTGCGTCAAGGGAAAATGCTAGTACTCCTCGTTCATTCTCTCGTCTGTTGTGACGAGTTGGTGGCCCATGGAAGGTCGCCGACCTGTTTGCGACATGCCGTACCCTGGGGCGTAATCAGCTGACGGCACGACCCCCCACGACACGTGCCAGTTGCATTTTCATGTGTCGCGAGAAGAAAACAAAGGGTCTCCGGAACCAGAGACCGGACAATGTCGGTGAATGACAGTTGTTCATTCAAAAACTGCTAGCATTTCTATGAAATCAACATTTCTTAAATATCAACAGCATTATCGGTGTACTATATCTAAATAATATCAACAGCATTATCGGTGCTGAGGGAACTGTAATTGGGGGTGAAAACAGTTTAAGCACGCTGTAATTGCTCCAAGTACGGTTTTCGTTGAAGCACACATTTTAGCTGGCGAAAAGGGCAAAAACTGTGCCTGATGATATCGAACGTCGGCTCATTGAACATGTGGATTATTCACGACCAATTCCATACGTGCGTTTTGAAACTAGACATAGAACAGTCGTGTTGTCATGCTGTGGAACCTGCATTCCATTGTGATGTATAACTACCATGGACAGAACCACTTACTCGATTGTGACTTCGGCAACAGTGGAAACAAAGTTTTGTCCAAATTTTTAAAGCGCTGTCCGTAGCATACTAGTATGTAAGATGGCTGTGGTTGTGGCAACCAGTACGGCTGTGCCGTGCGCAGTGTGAAGTCCCAACAGTCCCCAATCACGGACCGGCCGGCAGGAGCTGCTCGAGGGCCGGAACGACCAGCACGGCCGCAACAGCCTGCTGATGACGTACGTGCACTACCAGTGCGGTCTGTCGCCGGCGGGCGCCGAGCCTCCGCCGCCGACCGTCGCCGGCCACACCGCCCGCGCCTCGTCACTGCCGCGCGCGCGCGCCTTCAACAGGTGGGACGCATGTTTGTAGCAGCGATTTCAAGCAGAGAAAATTTTAAAACCGATACCAAACCAAAAACCAACTAAAACAATGGCAAATATGCTGATAACGATAACCGTACTTCCAGCTCTTCGTTTATTCGAGAAGCTTTCGGAAGCTATACTGCTTTCTTCGTCAGCTCGTTAAAAACTAAAATACAGTGAGACACATATACTACACTATCTCAGTCGTTTCGCTTCGAAGTTCGAGTACATAAATGACGCATTCATCACAATATATGACACAATATATCACATAAATTATTCTTTACAAAATTCAAAAATATCTCTCGTTTCGTCGATTCGTTCGCACCACCAATTCCGCATCTCTACTCAAGATATACACATTCAAGATGTACACAGCATACTGTGTAATCAGAGCACACAGTAGATGTTGTTTACTGGCACACCTGGTTTTGTGTTGAGAAGAATGTTTGTGTTTATTTTTGTTATAAAAATGCCCTCTTTGATTTTTCGCTTCTTCCAGTTAGCCACGTACGCCATAATTTTGACCCCACCCCACTGAATGTCATGACCCGTCTCCAAAACATGGTTTGAGATCCCTGAGTGGTTCTCGTCGCCGTTTCTGATGGCTCTTTTGTGCTCGCTCTCTCGTGTTTTTAGATTTCTTCTACCGGTTTCTCCTATTTATACTTTCTTGCATTAGCACTCATACGAGGGGTGTTCAAAAAGTTCTCGGCTCGACCATGAAGGAGCAGAGATACGACGTCGACTTATCAGACCAAAAATGTTCATTTAGTCAAATAACCAGCGTTGAGACAAAAACATTTCGCGCAGCGCTTCGCGAGAGGCCCCAGGGTCTCCATAGCCAAGTGGGTTTTGGACCCATCTGGCACGTCCAAGACGGCTGCTTTTGTCTCCTTGCTGTCGGCGAAGTTGCCATTGCTAAGCAATTTCCTTATGTTGGGGAAGAGGTGGCAACCAGAGGGTGCAAGGTACGGAGAAAAAAGTGGATGTGACTACAACTCGAAGCCACAGCTCACTGCTTCGCTGATCGTCACCCTGCTCATGTGTGCTGGTGCGTGGTCATGGATCAGGCGCACACTTTTAGTCAGCTTCCCTTGTCTCTCCTCGATATCTGCTGCTCGCAACTATTATCGAAGGGAGGTGTAGTGTTCATCGTCAATTGTGGGCCTCTGTTTTAGAAAGTTAACGAGCAGAGCCCCGTCAGCATCCCAAAATGCAACCACTGTCACCTTGCCGACTGACTTAAACATAGACTTGTAAGCGATGCAAAAAAAAAAATCAATCAATTCAATCACGACTCACTTGATGAAATGACCGATTCAATCATAACTCAATCAACCAGTCTGATTTTCCAAGCGATTCAATCACGACTCATCCCATTATCAGTGATTCAGGGAATGACTCAACTCATTATTTAACTCAACGCGATTCAATCAACATGTTATATAATTACATATGTGATATCAATTTAAGAAATTTTTGGAAACTGATACCAAACTGATACCAACCAAATACACTGGGAGAATACAAAAAAAAAAACACATAGAAAAGTACTAAATCTATACTGAACTCAACAAAATTGTAGGTACAGGGTGTCCCAGAAGTCTTGAAGCTTTTTTAATTTTGTCGTGTGACCTTGCTATGCCACCGATTAAGGCGAATCATGCCTCAAACGAAAGAGAAAACTGAAATTTTGTATTTTCATGCGTAGAGCACCACTTTAGTCAGGTGGCCCTCGTTGTGAGTCGCACAAGATTGAGCACGAGAGATCACGTTCTTCGCTGCCGGCAAGATCTCCCGGTTTGCGAAACACCGGTGTCGCCATGCCCGTTTCTTGTCAGCTTCAGAGTCTTATTCCCTGAAGCGAGCGACATAATATTAGCGACATATATTTCCGACGGGTTGATATTTGTTTTAGCTCCATAATAATGCGACGAATCAAAGGATTACAACGGGCTGTTGCTTAGCGTGCTCAAGCACCTGAGCCTTATTTCCGTAATGGATGCGTGCAAACATGTCAGGAGACTTTCTGATCAGTAAATCATTATGTTGCTAATGTTTTCTCGGAGATCCAATACTGTTTCCTGGCTCGCTTCATGAAATGAGGCTCTGAAGCTGACCAGAAACGGGCATGGCGACACCGGTGTTTCGCAAACCGGGAGATCTTGGCGGCAGCGAAGAACGTGATCTCTCGTGCTCAATCTTGTGCGACTCACAACGGGAGCCACCTTGCCTAAAGTGGTGCTCTACGCATGAAAATACAAAATTTCAGTTCTTTCTCTTTCGTTTGAGGCGTCATTTGCCTTAATCGGTGGCATAGCAAGGTCACACGACAAAAATAAAAAAGCTTCAAGACTTCTGGGACACCCTGTATTTATATAAATATGGTGTAAAGACGATAATTTAAGTACAGAATACACAAGTTCTGTTACAAATGAAGCTACCAGAGGACTTATAAATTTATTCATCTGCCTGACGCTTGCAAAAGGAAACATATGCAAAATCTCACAGAACACCACCACATATTATTATCAGCATCATCGAAAAGGACCAAAATTTGCAAATCTATTGTAATACCCAAACTAAAATAGTTGGTGATCAGCCATATAAAAAATATTGATTGATACTTTATGAAGCAGTGGTAAAGCCGGTAAAGCATTACACAGGACTAGACATTTTCGGCGCGCTACAAGTTTTCTTTACTAGGTATCAAGAATACGGATTATCGACACTTACGAAGCTATTCAATAGTTACATAATATAAATTTGAATGCTCTCATGGTAAAACTACCTCAACCATCCATATCTTCAATGACAAAATAACAATTCCAAGCCCCACGACACCAAACTTCATACGCGGCGGAGCTTTGTAATGGCCTGGCTACACTATGCGTTTTCTGCGTGCGTTTTTTGCTTTTACGAGTTTGCGTGATTTGCGTGATATGGTTCTAGAAAGAAACGATATTACGTTTTTGTAATATTTTTTTTTTATAAAAACTTTTAATTATCATGAAGGCTTTATTAAGTTTCATATAATGTACGCAAAACACGCACTCGCAAAAAAAACCCACGCAGAAAACGCATAGTGTGGCCAGGCCTTTATACGCATGCGCTAAGTGGGCAGCCATCTTTTATTCAGCAGCAGAACTATATAAAATGCATAGTTTATATTTTTAGATTCAATTAAGCATATTTATGCATGCGTCTAATTTTTTTTATTCTGTCCAATTTATTAAAGAAAAAATTATAACAGTAAAAATCTAAATTGGTTTGGCAATATGTATTTAGCCCAGCACTAGCCACTAGGTAGTTGCAGCGTATATTGACGCAGCTGCGACATAAAAGCATATTCTGCGTGGTTTGCACGTGGCAAATATTGCGAGCAGTCTGGCAAATCTCTAATCCAAATTTAGCATCGAATGCAAAACTGAGGCCTCTTGCACCAAACTACCTAGCTAGGTAAAATCGAAAAACCGGTTTCAGAATAAGCTAATCTAAAGGTGGTAAATTTGTTTGCAATAGCCCAATACATAATCCTACATGTGCTTGCTAAATTTTGCACGCAAATTGTTACATTTGAGACTTGGACTGGGTATACGATGCAAAATAATCCAAGCATTGGTGCAAGAGGATTTTGGTGCAAGAGGCCTCTGTTAGCGGTCCTCAAAACTAGAAGGCGAAGAACATCAAACGGATAAAGATTGTTTGTTCATGAGCTATGAAAACAATAGTTTTTGGGTGATAGTGGAGGTGAAGTGAAGGTGGTTGAGTTTTTAATACCTAGTAGGGTATGTATCTACTTTTCGCCATTGTAGGTATCTTTACTTTTGTGTAATTGGGAGCCACGGCAATATGTGACAGATCCATCAATGCTCATAAGCCAAGGTATTCCAATTATTTATGTTGATAGGTAAACGCTGATTCTGCTGGGAAATGTAAAGTGAGTTAGAAGACCATGGGTTAGATCAAGCAATTTATGACCCTTAGCCCAAAATCAAATCAGTAATTAAGGTTACCATTATAATGTGAACATGCATTGTGTATTCATCAATATGTTTTGCCTGCTCACAAATGTCCTGATGAAACAGGGTATTGAAAATATAAAGATTAACATGATATCTAAAACATGTGTGTTGACTGTTGAGCAATGTGCGCCTGCTTACTGCTACTGTTAACTTGATTACTATACTGATTTTAGGGCAATGGAAAGAAACTTTACATGCATTTTTCATCTTCATGCATTGACATATACCGGGTGGCCCAGAAAAAACGTTCCCAATTTTAAATCAATATTTCTCAGAAAGTGATAAAGATACAACCTTTAAACTTCCAATAGTCAATGCGGCATATATTTTCAGTAAATGGTATGATATTTATGTTATTCGGTTGATTACTTTTTAAACGGTTCGTGTTTCTAGCATGCCATGTAAAAATCACTTTTTTGCTCAGATGTTTACTAAAAATGTCAGTGAACGGGCCACTTCCATCTCGGCACCACGGCCTGCAGCCATGACTGCTACTGGCACTATAGGCTCATTGATGGTTCAGGCCTCAGGGTGACACATTCCCTCTAGCCTTTATCCTTATTCGGTCGTTTTACTATTTGATCTTGAAAAGAGGGCGATCAGCTGTAACCCATGCACCGTGTCACTCCTTTTGCTCGAACAGAACTTGTGTTGAAACGAATGGCATCCATTAACACAATTTTGGCTTAGTATTTGGATATTTGGTACATAAGTGGGACAAAAATATTAAAAATAACAACACACGTGCTGGTATCATTCACGTATTCTATTTTTTCTATTTTTTTTCTAACATGGTACGTCTAAGCCAATCATTACTACCGTTCAACAACGGCAAAAAAGCAAAAATGTCTTACTTAATCCAACATAAGATTGCTGGCTTGAAAATGATGGTACAGTGTTATAATTTGGCATACCAATGCGCAAAGAAGTGACGCAAACTTGATAAAAGTTTTGGCTCGTTATTCGCACTAGAATTTGAGATATAGGCCTCCAAAGTTCGGAACGTTTTTTTTTTTTGGCCACCCGGTATGTATAATTTTGTGTTTACAGTTTGATTAAATACTTTAAACATTTTTTTATGATTTTTCAATTATGATAGCAGTGCGCATTTATAATACTGACGAACTACCTGTAAGCGCTGTTTAGATGGGCTAAGGTCCGATCACAGCGACCTCTTGGCTGAGGGTTGATCGGTGTAGCTAGGTGTTGAGCAGTGTGTGTTATAGGTGGCAGCACATTACGGATGTTGGCGCTACCTGCCAGTATTTGTTGTTTCTCGTAAGAGTTTCTGCGACAATAAATTTAGTTTGTACCGCGAAATGGTGATATATAAATCTTAGCGTCTAAGATGGTTGCGAATTGCGTTTTGTGCATTTGTTTATTGGTCATATCGATAAATATTATTTGGAGCTGCGAGAATAGAGATGTTATCGGAGAATTGTCTGTTCAGATTTATGTATATGCCCTTGGAAATATGTTATTATATTTGGTAAATTTATGTCTGTGAATTTTTAGGACACGGTTAATTTCTTGACGCTCTGGCTGCTCTCGGACGAGGTGTGAAAATCGGAGGTGTTGTCGTCACCCACCTCTTTTCGGTCTTCATTCGTTCTTGGTTCGGTTTGGCGCGCGCGTGATGTCGTTGTGATGTAAGTACAATGAAGTTTCGGTATATTCCGCTCGGATATCATTCATGTAACGTTATCTGGAGTCATGTTTCATGATTGAACTGAGTTTTTTGGGCCTTTCAACCATTATATGACTTTGTATCTGTATTTCTGTTATGTCCTCGTGCGCGGATATCGAAACTGGTGCGCCACGTGTGTCACATGAACGGGTTTGTTGGTACAGGCGGCGTTATGGCTTGAGGCTTGCAGCGAAGCATCTTGGCTTGGACTTGGTTTTGGTTTGGTCGTCGTCTTCAGGCTACGGACGCCAATTTGATGGTAGGTTGGTTATCGTACGCTTTGTCGATTGTGGTTGATTGTTCAACTTTGGAACCAACTACTATGATGATTTATCGCGAGTTTGGCTGTTTCTGGTTCCACTTGTTCTCCCCCCCCCCCCCCTTTGTCTGGCGTGTGATATTGATTTGCGAGTTGAAAATCTTACGGAGTTCGGTGTTTTTGACAGAAACTTGTGGCAATACACCACTAGTGAGCATCTGGCGTGTGGAGGCTTAGCGTTTGGACGAGACGGCGACTACAGTTTCATCAAAGGCTCTGGCTCCTGCTCGGAGCTGTCTACTCCTGCGGCCTGCTCGGAGCTGTCTACTCCTGCGGCCTGCTCGGAGCTGTCTACCCCTGCGGCCTGCTCGGAGCTGTCTACCCCTGCGGCCTGCTCGGAGCTGTCTACTTCTGCGGCCTGCTTGGAGCTGTGTAGACTTCTGCAGCTGGCTTGGAGCTGTGTGGACTCCTGCAGCCTGCTTGGAGCTGTGTAGACTCCTGCAACCTGCTCGGAGCTGTTGACTCCTGCAGCCTGCCCTGGGCTGTGGACTGCGGCCTGCTCGGAGCTGTGGACTCCTGCAGCCTGTTCGGAGCTGTGGACCCCTGCAGCCTGCTCGGGGCTGTGGACTCCTGCAGCCTGCTCGGAGCTGTGGACTCCTGCAGCCAGCTTGGAGCTGCCGACTGGAGCTGTTGACCACTGCAGCCTGCTTGGAGCAGCATCAGAACTCTTGGGAGTTCTCATCGGACTTGGACTAGTTCTATTAGTCACAAGGTGAGGGGACAGTAAGAGGAATTGGGTTGGAGTGTGTTTGCAGTGTATTTTTATAGAAAATCATAAAACCAAATAGAAAATCCAGTGTCATTACTCATTGTATGTTAATGTGTATGTATTATTGGTAGGAAGTGTACAATGCGTGTACTGTGTGGGTGCCTCGCGTGAAATGTGGATCGGAGTTGTATAATAAGGAGTATTGCACTAAACCCGTCATTCGCAGCTTTCCCTATTTTGAATTCACTGATTTGTGCTGACTTAGATGGTAACATAGAGAGTAAGGCAACATGTATACTAGGGAGGAACTGGGAAAATTGAAGGTTGAGGATTTGCAGAGGGAATTAGCTGGGAAGGGTCTGGATACTACTGGGAAAAAGGCTGAACTGATAGATAGGTTGTGGGATTTCATCCAGCGAGAAAGTAAGTCTGCGGAAGATCATGAGTCTGCTGAGATGGACATTGTGGAGCCAAAGGTATCTCACAGTAGCACAGGGGTGTCTCACTCAGTGGCAGCTGATAGCGCACAGACGTTGTTGGCACGGTTGACCATTTTAAAGGAGCGGGAAGCTCTAGCTGAGCAGGAGGTGGCCAGCAGGGCTAGGATGGAGCAAGAGAAGGTAAGGATTGCAGCTAGGAGAGAACAGTTGGACTTGGAGGAACAGTTGGTGAGCATTGGTAGACCACTTACTGATGCAGAGAGGCGAGCTCATGTTATTCAGGTACATGGGCGTCCATCCGAGTCTGATAACGTGACCAAGGCACTATCCCTGCACATACAGCGGTCCTTGCTGCCGCAGTCAGTTTTGGAGCCGTTTTCTGGTAACGTCCAGGATTATCGTTTGTTCGTCAGGTCTTTTGATACGCGGGTAGTCAACAAGACTACTGACCAGTGTGAGCTAATGGCTTATTTAGACCAGTACACGCGAGGACGTCCAAACCGGATAGTAAGAAACTTCCTTCATCTCGGAGAGGATGGCTATCAGCAGGCCCGACGTGCCCTTGAGCGGGAGTACGGTAACCCACATACTCTCATTGATTCGTATATTGGGAAGTTACGGTCATGGCCCAGGGTCCACCCTGGGGACGTCCAGGGCCTTGATGGATTGGTTCTCTTTTTGGTGGAAGTACAAAACGCGATGACTGACGTCCGCATGGGGGAGCTAGAGCACCCGCGGACTTTGCGTGAGGTGGTGCAGAAACTTCCCAACTTCCTCAGAGACAGATGGCTCCGAGAGGCGGATATGCTGATGGGTCGAGAGCAGGGTGGTGGCTTCGTGGGCTTCAGGGATTTGGTTAGTTTCCTTGAGAGGGAGCTCAGGATCCTGAAGAACCCAGTGTTCGGTGTCGGTGCCAGTGGTGATCTGGGGGGTTCTGCCTCCAGATCAAGTGACGTGCGTGATAGACGAGCTGGCAATCACAGGGTGAATGCGTTGAACGTCAGTGGTGGAAGCCCTGGACGAGGCGGCAGGCCTTCTCCAGGCGGGGGTCGTGCGACGCCGGCTTCGAAGGCTGCTGATAGTCGGCTTGGTGTAGGCGGTGCTGAACTACGCCCAGAGGCATGCATGTTCTGTGGGAAGCCTCACCGTACAGACGCATGCGAGCAGCTACGCTGGAAACCTCTTGAGAGAGGAAGGCCTTTCTTTTCCAGAAGCAGCTCTGCTTCGGTTGTCTGCAACCAGGACACCTGGCCAGGTCCTGTCAGTGCCGCTTGACCTGTGGCATCTGTGGGCGCCGGCATGCAACTCTGTTGCACAGGAGTCCTGATCCGCAGAACTTATCCAGTCCTGAGGTCTCGCCAACTGCACCAAAAATTGTCAGTGCTGGTGTTGGAGTGAGTGATGCCAGAGGCGGCTACACCATGATGCCTGTGGTGCCGGTGAGGCTGATTGATAAAGCTGGGAAGGAGGTGTTCACGAGCGCCTTCCTAGATCAGGGCAGTTCGGGGTGTTTTGTAACTTCACGTCTGGCGAGTCAGTTGAGTTTAGAGAAGGACGAGGTGACCATCACCATCGACACGGTGACGAGCGAGGGCCGGGAGGTTAAGTCGGCGGTGGTGGACGGAGCTAAAGTTGGTCCCACTTCCTCTGACGAGACGTTTCCTCTGCCACCGTTATTCACTCTCGACCAGATCCCTGTCTCGAGGCAGGATGGGTGTCACTCGGAGGATTTGGAGAGATGGCCACATCTGGTCGGTATACCGATGCGTGACTTGGAGGCTCCGGTAGAGCTAATGATTGGCTCAAATGCCGCACAACTTTTGGTGGCTCAGGAGGTACGGCATCCTGAGGAAGGGAGCGGACCTTGCGGGGTGAAAACCTGTCTTGGTTGGTACGTGATCGGTCCTCGGTGCCCAGGAGTTGAAGGTGAGTGTGACTCGCGAGCAGTGGTGCATTTTCTCCGTGTGACAGAACCCCGAGCGAGTAAACAGAGTGACCTCACTGACATGTTTCATAGCATGTACGAGGCAGAGTTTAAGGACACTTCGGATGACTCCGAGGCGCTATCGGTAAATGACCAGGAGTGGTTGGTGGAGGTCAAGGCCACCATTCGTAAAGATGATGAGGGGCACTACGAGGTGGCACTGCCCAGGAACCAGTTGGGAGACATTCCTGACAGCCTTCCCACAGCGAGGAGACGGTTCGAGTCCCTGCGTGGGAAGTTCAAGAGAGATCCAAAGTACTTTGAGAGCTATCGAGAGATCATTCGTTCGTTGGATCGGGACGGCTACGCCATCAGAGTGCCGGATGACGAGGTATGCAGCCAGCCAGTCTGGTATCTTCCGCACCACGGGGTGCAGGAGACTGAGAAGGGTAAGCTACGAGTCGTTTTCGATTGCGCTGCTCAGTCAAATGGTGTCAGTTTGAACGACATGTTGAAGAGGGGACCCAACTTGACTAACTCCTTAGTGGGGGTTCTCTGCAGGTTTCGGGAGGGACCGGTTGCCTTCACGTGTGACGTAGAGGCCATGTACCATAGGGTGCATGTCCCAGAATCGGACTCTGATATGCTGAGGTTTCTCTGGTTTTGTGATGATGATCTGGATGGAGAGGTCGAGGTCTGGAAAATGCGGTCCCACGTGTTTGGGGCCGTATCCAGCAGCAGTGTGGCATCTCTCGCTCTCAGACAGTGCGCAGCAGAGGGAGCTGAGCAGTTTCCCGAGGCAGCAGAGGTATTGGTTCGCAACAGTTACGTTGATGATGTTGCAGTGGCGGTGACATCTGTTGACGATGCCGTTGGACTGGCTCATGATCTGAAGGCCTTGTGTGGTCGCGGTGCCTTCAACATGAGGAAGTTCACTAGCAACAGTGCAGCATTCCTGAAGGAGATCTCTGAAGAAGACAGGGGTAAGAACCTCAAGGACCTCGATCTGGACAAGGATAGGTTGATGACGGAGCGAACTCTAGGACTTAAGTGGGAAGTGAACGGTGATTCATTCTGCTTTGACTTCACTAAGGGGGACAGGCCGGTCTCACGTCGGGGAATCCTGTCCACGGTGAGTTCGATTTTCGATCCGTTGGGGATTATCGCACCAGTGACTTTGGTTGGTAAGGCGCTGTTGCAGAGATTGTGCTCTTTATCTTGCAGCTGGGATGACATGATACCCGATGAGCTCGCTGACGAGTGGGCGCAGTGGCTGTCCGAGGCCAGGCAGCTGGATTCGGTTCGTTTAGACAGGGACATCTCCGGGACCCCTGGCGTAGTTCTGAGGACGGAGCTGCATATCTTCGCGGATGCAAGTGAGGTGGCTCACGCGGCGGTGGCCTATGTCAGAAGAGAGGTAGAGACGGTGAGTAGTGGCAGGGAGATTTCTGTTGGGTTCGTATTTGGTAAGGCACGAGTGAACCCGATCCGGTGTGTTCAGACAGTTCCTCGGCTGGAGCTCACCGCGGCGACACTCGCCGTAAGGATCAAGCAGTTGTTGGTCCGGGAGATGGCCATGGAGCTGGACAGCGTCAGACTGTGGACAGATAGTTTGATAGTTCTTAGCTGGATTAGAAATAGGACCTCTAGACTTAGGACCTTTGTAGCCAATCGGTTGTCACAGATACGTTCAGCCACGGAGGTCGCGGACTGGGCATATGTGCCGTCGAAGTCGAACCCGGCGGATGTTGGGTCTCGGGGCGCCCGACCTGGTACTTTGCGGCCATGGCTGAAGGGACCAGTTTTCCTCTCACAAGACAAGGACAGCTGGCCGGAGGAGCCGTCAGTCGCCGTGGAGTTGCCCGAGGATGAGGTAAAGGTCTCTGCTTGTGTTGGTCAGGTTGGGCTGTCTGATCGGACAGATAGTCCTACTGACTCTCTCGTCAGACATTATTCTTCGTTCTATCGGCTGAAGAAAGCCGTTGCTTGGTTTCGCAGGTTTTGTGATGTCATCAAGTCTGGCGAGTATCGCAGGTATGTTCTCGCCAAGAGACGGGGCCTGAGGGCCAGAGCAGTGGCGCCTGAGCGCAGTCTTACTGTGGCCGATCTGGAGAGTGCAGAGGTGGCCATAGTTCGTCATGTTCAGAGAGGTGCGGTTGATTTCCCGAGTCTCGACGTGGAGGGTCCTGTGAAGGTGAGGCGTGATCATCCGCTGTCGCAGCTGCGCCCGTGCGTTAAGGGTGGTCTGTTGGTAGTCGGAGGCCGTATAGGTGAATCACTTTCGGTTTCAGAGAGGGTAAAGCATCCTGTCATACTGCTTCGTAAACACCATGTGTCTCGTTTGCTTATTCGCGATGCCCATTGCTCTGTGGGGCATCAGGGAAGAGATCACACGTTTTGGAAGCTGCGGGAACGGTATTGGGTCATAGGGGCGAGCGCAGAGATCAGGCAGATGTTGCGTTCATGCGTCGTGTGTCGGCGAGTGAACTCACGCCCGCAGCAGCAGTTGATGGCCGACTTACCGTCAGAGCGTGTGACTCCGGAGACTCCTGCCTTTTCTTATGTAGGATTAGATGTATTTGGGCCGATAGCGGTAAAGTCTGGACGGGGGGAGAGACTTCGGTATGGTCTGATGTGTACCTGTATGGTTACCAGGGGAGTACATGTCGAGTTGCTCGATTCATTACGGTCGGACTCCATGATAAACGCCATCCGTAGAATCGCTGCGCGGCGAGGGCCAGTGAGGTATGTTGTGTCCGATATGGGTACTAACCTAGTCGGTGCAGAGCGAGAGCTTAGGGAGGCGCTGCAGGGTCTTGACAGGGAGCATTTGCAGCGTGCAGCACTCGCCGAGGGGATAGATTGGAAATTTAACCCGCCGACTGGATCTCATTTCGGTGGCTTCACAGAGAGGCAGATACGTACCTTTCGTAAGGTCTGGAACAGTATGCCGGTGCAGGGAAGAGTGGATGAAGAGACGCTCCGTACTCTCTTCTGCGAGGTAGAGGCTATTTTGAATAATCGTCCTCTGACGTATATTTCGACGAGTTCGGGTAATCTTGAGCCGCTGACTCCCGCCCACCTCCTTCTCCTCCGCGCTGGTGGGCATCTGATGGCCGGGGATTATTCCGATGCAGATTCCTTCTCCCGCCGCAGGTGGCGTCAGGTACAATATTTAGCGGGACAGTTTTGGATAAGGTTCAGGGATGAATTTCTGCCCACGTTGCAAAAGAGGCAGAAATGGACGAGCGCCTCGCGGAACGTGACGGATGGGGATGTAGTTTTGCTGGTAGACCCTGATGTTCCACGAGGTCAGTGGAAGATGGGCAGAGTCGTCAGGACGATTCCAGGTAAGGACGGGCTAGTTAGGAAGGCGGTGGTGAAAACCGGCACCTCGTCTTATCTGAGACCTGTGCATAAGTTAGTTTTGATACAGAGTACGGACTTGGAGTGGTAAGTATCGGGGGTGGTGCGCAGGTGTGCCGCCGGTTGTACGGTGAGCGCATTGTCTGTAGGTAGTAAATATGAAGTCAGTTTCCGTTCTCCCTTTGGGGGTTACCATTTTCTCCCGAGTTGGAAGCTGTAGAGTTGTTTCCCCATGTTTTTTTTTTTTGCTCACTAAGCTGCGAATGGAGGAGTTGTGTGCGTAGTCAAGGAGCGCTATGATAGGTTTCAGCAGGGCTGAAGGGGGGAGTGTAAGCGCTGTTTAGATGGGCTAAGGTCCGATCACAGCGACCTCTTGGCTGAGGGTTGATCGGTGTAGCTAGGTGTTGAGCAGTGTGTGTTATAGGTGGCAGCACATTACGGATGTTGGCGCTACCTGCCAGTATTTGTTGTTTCTCGTAAGAGTTTCTGCGACAATAAATTTAGTTTGTACCGCGAAATGGTGATATATAAATCTTAGCGTCTAAGATGGTTGCGAATTGCGTTTTGTGCATTTGTTTATTGGTCATATCGATAAATATTATTTGGAGCTGCGAGAATAGAGATGTTATCGGAGAATTGTCTGTTCAGATTTATGTATATGCCCTTGGAAATATGTTATTATATTTGGTAAATTTATGTCTGTGAATTTTTAGGACACGGTTAATTTCTTGACGCTCTGGCTGCTCTCGGACGAGGTGTGAAAATCGGAGGTGTTGTCGTCACCCACCTCTTTTCGGTCTTCATTCGTTCTTGGTTCGGTTTGGCGCGCGCGTGATGTCGTTGGGATGTAAGTACAATGAAGTTTCGGTATATTCCGCTCGGATATCATTCATGTAACGTTATCTGGAGTCATGTTTCATGATTGAACTGAGTTTTTTGGGCCTTTCAACCATTATATGACTTTGTATCTGTATTTCTGTTATGTCCTCGTGCGCGGATATCGAAACTGGTGCGCCACGTGTGTCACATGAACGGGTTTGTTGGTACAGGCGGCGTTATGGCTTGAGGCTTGCAGCGAAGCATCTTGGCTTGGACTTGGTTTTGGTTTGGTCGTCGTCTTCAGGCTACGGACGCCAATTTGATGGTAGGTTGGTTATCGTACGCTTTGTCGATTGTGGTTGATTGTTCAACTTTGGAACCAACTACTATGATGATTTATCGCGAGTTTGGCTGTTTCTGGTTCCACTTGTTCTCCCCCCCCCCCTTTGTCTGGCGTGTGATATTGATTTGCGAGTTGAAAATCTTACGGAGTTCGGTGTTTTTGACAGAAACTTGTGGCAATACACCACTAGTGAGCATCTGGCGTGTGGAGGCTTAGCGTTTGGACGAGACGGCGACTACACTACCTAAAAATGTTGCAGTGCATTGTGTGTGTCTATGATGCAAATACCACATATATTTCTCCATAATGTAGTACTAAATATGGTCATAGCTTCAATTTCCAGTACATGGTGATTGAATCATTTTGTTGATTCAATCAAGTTAAATAGATGAGTTGCCGACTCAATCACTTGTAGTTGCCATGTGTGACCGATTCAATCACAACTCATATGGTGACAAGAGGTGATTCAACCGACTCAATCACAGTGAGTCGGCATTTTCAAGCGATTCATGAGAATCGATTCAATCAGAGTTGAATCGCATACAAGTCTGCAGTTAAACACGTCGCACACATTTGGTGGCCTTTACTCAGTGTGCTTCCACTTGTGCAACTCGGTCACACCCTTAGGGTCAACGTGTGACACCCACAATCCCTCCACGGTAACAAGTAGTTGAATGAACTCTTTTGGATCTTCGATATAGGGGCCAAAATTTTCGCGTTACGCCTCCTCTCGAGTTTGCCTTTCCTCTGGAGTCAGCAAATGGGGGATGCATCTTGCAGAGATTTTAAACCTATTAATACGCTGTTGAAGAATGACTTTGAGGAGCCCGATAGACACCTCCGCTTCTGCTGCGTTGTTCCAGACCAGAACATTTGTCATTTTTAATAAAGAAGTGCTTATTTTTCATATTTTCTGAGTCAATGCTGTTGATGGCTGGCCACTGTGGGGGTGACATTAATGATCTGTTGACCAAAGTTGAACAGAGATACCCACTTTTTGACGCTACTGTAAGAAAGACAAACCTCAACATGTGTTGGCACTAGCTTTTCGTGAATAACGTTTGGTGCACTTTTCTGCAAGCATGAACCAAATCACTGTTCTCTTCTGGACGTCGCCAATTCTGACCGGGAATGGCAAACTATGTTACGATTAATTAGCAGCCTGAACCAATCACAGGGCAGATTGGTTAATGGCTACGTAAGTGGACATCCCAATAACACATCATTGAATACACCGCGTTACAGGCCGAAATTCCAACTCCTTCATGGTTGAGCCGAGAACTTTTTGAACGCCCCTCGTACTGATATACCAGTTCGGTATTTTCTTTCATTTCCCTACTATCTTTGGGTTTTACTAGCATATGCCTTAGATTCTTACCCGACTTGTTCACTACTTTTGCATGTGGAGTTAGAATCCTCGTCACTCTCTCTGTCACTCCCTTCACGTACGGCAGAACTACCAGCGGCTTATGCTCACCCTCTTGTCTATGCCTTCTGTGACTATCCGTGAACTGCATTTTTCTACGTGTCCTTTTTATAAATTGACTAGGATAGTTGTTGGCTTTCAAAGCTTTTTTCATGATTCATCTCAGTCGATTTCCCTGCGTCATCCGATGGGAACACCTTCCCCCGCCGCATCAGAGACCTAACGACAGATTCCTTATGTTGTGAGCTATGGTGCGAATGAAAATTTAAATACTTATCCGTGTGCGTTCCTTTTCGGAAAACGGCTGTAATTTTAGAGAAACTGATCCACTAGCAACTGACAGAGTTTGCAACAAACAGACGCATTCTCTCAGAAAACCAATTCGGATTTAGGAAAACTAACTCTACATACATGCCTATCATGCTTATTGCTTATACAAGATTATATAACTGAAACACTGTTGAAACACTGAAACACTGGAAAAAAGTGACATTGTAACGGGCATCTTTCTCGACCTTTCAAAAGCCTTTGACACGGTAGATCACAAAATACTACTAGAGAAATTAAACAAAATGGGTTTTCGAGGAGATGTTCTAAAAACAATTAAATCATATCTAACAAACAGATTCCAAGGGGTGCAGCTAGAAGGGGTTAAGTCAACAGAATGAGAAATAAAAATGGGCGTACCTCAGGGGTCAATCCTTGGACCATTCAGTTTCTTTCAGTTTCGTGGCACTACCTCAACTAGGGGCTAATCACCAAGGCCAAGTTGCTTTGCTAAACTGGGTGACCTTAACTTCTGAGACCTGGGTTCCAAACTTTCACACACGATGAGCAATTGATGTATGGTGAACTATGCCAAGTTTCGCCCCGCTTATGAGAGAGAGAGAGAGAGAGAGAGAGAGAGAGAGAGAGAGAGAGAGAGAGAGAGAGAGAGAGAGAGAGAGAGAGAGAGAGAGAGAGAGAGAGAGAGAGAGAGAGAGAGAGAGAGAGAGAGAGAGAGAGAGAGAGAGAGAGAGAGAGAGAGAGAGAGAGAGAGAGAGAGAGAGAGAGAGAGAGAGAGAGAGAGAGAGAGAGAGAGAGAGAGAGAGAGAGAGAGAGAGAGAGAGAGAGAGAGAGAGAGAGAGAGAGAGAGAGAGAGAGAGAGAGAGAGAGAGAGAGAGAGAGAGAGAGAGAGAGAGAGAGAGAGAGAGAGAGAGAGAGAGAGAGAGAGAGAGAGAGAGAGAGAGAGAGAGAGAGAGAGAGAGAGAGAGAGAGAGAGAGAGAGAGAGAGAGAGAGAGAGAGAGAGAGAGAGAGAGAGAGAGAGAGAGAGAGAGAGAGAGAGAGAGAGAGAGAGAGAGAGAGAGAGAGAGAGAGAGAGAGAGAGAGAGAGAGAGAGAGAGAGAGAGAGAGAGAGAGAGAGAGAGAGAGAGAGAGAGAGAGAGAGAGAGAGAGAGAGAGAGAGAGAGAGAGAGAGAGAGAGAGAGAGAGAGAGAGAGAGAGAGAGAGAGAGAGAGAGAGAGAGAGAGAGGAGAGAGAGAGAGAGAGAGAGAGAGAGAGAGAGAGAGAGAGAGAGAGAGAGAGAGAGAGAGAGAGAGAGAGAGAGAGAGAGAGAGAGAGAGAGAGAGAGAGAGAGAGAGAGAGAGAGAGAGAGAGAGAGAGAGAGAGAGAGAGAGAGAGAGAGAGAGAGAGAGAGAGAGAGAGAGAGAGAGAGAGAGAGAGAGAGAGAGAGTCGAAACATCACGATTGGCGCAGAAGCGCTAAGGCGCTTAAAACGAGACGCCGCTCGAAACACGTAGAAAGCAGACAATAACACTTCTAATCGAACACTACTAACACTACTGATCTTAATCAAAATGTCAATATTAACATAGCGAAGTCGACCCTGCCTTGGCCGAAGCGCCTGTCCCCGCCCCTACCCGCGCCATTGCTCTGTATTCCGAAATGGAAGTGCTGCTCCTAGTTCTAGCAGGCAAATCTCGGCGTTTTGAGTATATAGCTCTGGACGGCCATGGCGGTGTCATGGCGGGTAACCTTCGTAACTCGCGAAGGCCCATTTAGCAGTGTTTCTATTTTCTTTTTCCGAGGAATGTTTTGAAAGTTCTCACTGAGAATTTCAGTTAACCTTTCGAACGATTCTTCTCGTTCTGTGTGAAAGAGTGAACAAAAAAAAAAAAACTTGTCCCCTGACCGCCGGCCGGAACGGACGTGTCCCCTGCCCCTCCGTGCCTGGACCCAGTGCGCCGCGACCCTTCCAGTGATTAGTTCTACCTAAGGGAGCCAGGCGGCGGGTGGTGAGATAATATGGCTGACATGGCTGAAATCGATATTAAGGAAGAAGCCAAGAAAATCTCAGCGAATTTGAATTCGTCCAACGACTCCAGGACCTGGTAACGGAAGCCGTGGCTCAAGCAATCAACCGGGTCAACGAAGCGGCTGAAGCCCGAATAGCGTCGCTCGAGACTGAGCTGTCTTCCACCCAAAACAGGCTCGAGGAAGCTGAGCGGCGCATCGAAGATCTGGATGCGTACAACCGTCGCATCAGCCTGCTGATCACCGGGGTGCCGGAGACGAACGGTGAGGCGACGGACAGCCTGGTGCTGGACGTCGGCCGGGCCGCCGGTCTCAATCTGTCGGCCGATAGCCTGGACCGGTCCCTTGGACGTCCACAGCCAGGCAAGGTACGGCCGATCATCGCCAAATTCGCCACAACAAACGCTCGACAAAAACTATTCGATAAGCGAAAGGAGCTGACGGCTGAAAAGGTGGGTGGCCATCCGGTGCTGACCCGGTCAGTAATTAGCCGCATCTTTGTGTCAGACTGCCTTTCAGCTAAGAACCAGCACCTATTCTTCTTGGCTAGGCAGCTCCGGAAACGAAAGTCTCTGTGGGCCGCCTACACGACCAACGGCTGTGTGCGCGTGAAGAAGACAGAGAGAGACATTGCAGTCTCAATCAAAGAGCCAGCTGACCTTGAAGATATCGTTTGAGCCGACGCTTTCCGGGAATTCCGACCACGGGAGACCGAGCCAGCCGGCTCGGCGCGCCGCGGGTCGGGGCCCGCCTGGCAGGCCTCTGACGCCATCAACGCGTGGGTGACCGAGCGCCGCCGCGGGAGGTCCCCGGCGCTGCACACATCTGGAACGTGAGGCTGCGGCCAGATATTGACGCGAGGAATCGATTGCAATCCTTATTTTGGCGATCAGACGAATCCTTGAGGCACTTTTAACGCACCCCGTCCTTTAAGGGACAATTAAGGGATAAGGGATACGCTGCACACATCTGGAAGCCGAGGCTGCGGTCAGATATTGACCTGAGGAATCGATTGCTATCCTTATTTTGGCGATCAGGCGAACCCTTGAGGCACTTTTGACGCTCCAGTCCGTTAAGGGACGATTAAGGGATAAGGGATACGCTGCAGTCTGCACACATCTGACACCCGGCTAGATATTGACCTGAGGAATCGATTGCGACCTTTAATTTGGCGATCAAAGGATAAGGGAGGATTTAGGGATGAAGGAGGGGAGTTAGGGCAAAATAAGTGTCATATTCGTGTTCCCCGCCCCCTAATTGACCCCTTAGGCTTTTAAAAGCAATTCTGAATCTGACGCTGTATTCGCTGCTGTTGCTGACGTTCACTTCACGGACCTCACACAACCGGCGTTACCATGACATCAGCCGATTGATATCGTGAACTGGCCGTCGCCCCCCCCCCCCAATCCTCCTCCCCTATACGTCCTGGGTGATTTTCCTGCCCATTTAGAGACTTTTCAAAAAGTCTCTAGATTTTTCAACTGGTCACTAGATCTGGCAACTGGGGTGACGTCTGCTAAGAGAGTACCGCTATCA